GGTATTAATTTTCATGATAGGGTGATCAAGCTTCAATAGTTGGTGGAGCCATAGATTTCATCAAAGAACTTGAACATCAATTAGTATCTCTTGAAGCTCAAAAGCTTCAAAATGCCAAACTAAACCATACGATTACTTCTTCGACAAGTCAAGACTCAAATGGCGAACCGGAGAAACCTCATCAACCGTGTAATTCGCTATCTCTATCGCAGTTCTTTCTTAACTCCTACGATCCGAGCCAAGAGAATAGGAATGGCTCAACAAGCTCAGTGAAAACCGCTATGGAAGATCTCGAAGTGACTCTAATCGAAACTCATGCTAACATCAGAATCTTATCAAGAAGAAGAGGTTTCCGATGGACCACCGTGGCCACCACCGGGCCACCGCAACTTTCGAAGCTCGTGGCTTCTCTACAATCACTATCCCTCTCCGTTCTTCACCTCAGTGTCACAACATTGGACAATTTTGCTATTTACTCCATCAGCACTAAGGTAATAACCCTATCATCTTAACCCGCTAAACCGAACTAAACCAGGATTAACCGGATTAGTTCAAAGAGGGCTATTTCGGTAAATAAGTTACAACATTAGACATTTCTGCTGCTTACTCTATCAAGTTCAACACTAGGGTAATATATACAACTCTTATCATCATAAACTATAAACCGGACTAAACCGGATTGGTTCAAATACAATTTGAGGGATATTTTGGGGAATTATGTTACGAATTTAAAGCTAAACGATATATAATGTACTGTCCAATGAACAGAGCCTATAAGAGGAATGTCTATGAACTCTTAACTAGATTTGGTCTAACATTTATTACCATACTTGGTGGAGTCACTTTTTGTTTATTATTATTTCTCACCGATTTCTTGAAGAAACAGGTTCAATTATTGCAACGTGAATCATAATTATTTGGTTTTTCTATAAAATTCGCATAATGTTATTTTCCTAGGGTTATAGTAGTATATATGATTGTAAATTTATGTCAATTTTTGTTTCTTTTTTGGATTTTTAAAAGGTGGAAGAGAATTGCCAGCTAAGTTCAGTAGATGACATTGCAGGAGCAGTCCACCACATGCTAAGTATCATTGAAGAGGAGCCTTTTTGTTGTTTGTCAATGTCAGAATTACCCTTTGATTTCTCTTTAAATCACACCAATGCCACTCATTCTCTCTAAGAAA